TTGTTAGTTGAATCTCAAATAGATTGACAATCTTATATTGCCAACTCAAAGTAATTAACAAATATTTATTAACAGATAAACATACCTTTCATTGGTAGAGGAGTTATCTCTATTAGTTTTATTAGTTTCATAGTCATTGTATAAGTTTAACAATCTTGTCACTATGTTTTGTTCTACTACCATACTAATAGTGTATGACTCTTTTGCTGTTCACAATGAGAAAACATCTTATCATATGTTTTCTGCACATATTTCTACATATTAGATTAAATTTTGCAATTGTATTTTTTATTTTGTCTGCACGTTACTTTTGTTAATTATCATAAATTTCTTTTATGTGATAATCATGTTTATAATATTAATCAAATTGATTATAAAATAATTATTTGAATATTTGCAAATTGCATGCATATGTGCAGTGATATATAAGTTAGTGGAATTCTTTTGGATATTGCTCCTAGATTGATGTGCCCATTGACAATTCTATAAGAAAATAATTGGGGTGGATATAGTTGCTTAGAGATGCAAAAATGATTTTTTGTTCAATTAAAATTTTCTAAAGAATTGAGCATAATTATTAGCATAATGTACATTAATTTAGAGTACATGTCATATGACATTTAAGCATTATAATACCATGAGATCAGATAATTACATAATTCCAACCGTTGCTTGACATATATGTGGATGTAGTTGCTTAGAGAGATGCAAAATTAACTGTCATTTACTATAATTTCTTAGATAATTGATTATAATAACTAGCCTATTGGATATTAATTCAAAGAATATGTCATATTACATTTAAGTATTATAATACCATTGAAATCAGTTGATTACTTAATTCCATCAGTTACTTGACACTAATATAAATATAGTTGTTTAGAGAGGTGCAATTGTCATTTATTATAATTTCTTATATAATTGAGTGTAATTATTAACATTTTGGACATTAATTTAGAGTATATGTCATTTTACATTTAAGCATTATAATGCTATTGAAATGAGATGATTACTTGATTCCATCTGTTAGTTGGTGTGTGTGTGTGTGTAATAAAAAATCACCTCTTTTTTGTTGCTCTTACTAAATACATAATATCTTACTATTTATGCTTTAATAAATAATGATTATTTATTAAATTTAGTTTGTCTTGTTGATATTTTCTTATAATAAATTCTATCAGGTCGTTCGGTGGGCCCTCACCTCAGGAGCACCTCTGTATATTTAGTTTATGTTTTTTTAGAGTTTACATAAATTTATTTTATTTTCTTTTAGTTTGTATATGAAAAAAATATTAGCATGAATCTCGAGGAGATTTAATGACATGGACATGATAGGACGTGTCAAAGGAAAGCCCAATAATAAGAAACTCAGAGGCCCTTGCATCCAATTGGAAGCAATAGGATCAAAGCTAACAAAGATAACCAAGTTGCTCGAACCTGAGTGGTTCAACCAACAGCTAAGTACTATTGGGAAATCCTGGACATCTTATGATGGAACCAACACAAGGGGAAAAGCGTATAACACCCAAATCCGGAAAGGCGGTATACCCCGATAACACAGGACGTGATGAAATGAATTGAACATATTTTATATTCTAAAAGAAAGACTTGAATGCAAATAAAAAGAGAAATGTAAATTTTGTTTTTACTCAGTAGTTCATTGATACAACTGAAATGAAAGAAGAAAACTAATCTAATCAAAATTGATAGAACAACATGAAATAACTACCCATATCCTAAAAGAAAAATATAATAACTAAAATAAATACTGAGAGAAACACCGAAATGGGAAAATAAAAATTTAAACGCCTGATTCGGTGGAGAAGGTTCTATAGATGGTTGAATTGAACCTGTTATGCAAAAAGTTCTGATTGAGTTTGAAAAATAAACTTAATAAATAGCTGTTATTTATTAACGCATAAATAATAAACAAAATTAGGCATGTAGTATAAACAATAGATATGAAAAATTACTACATGCATATGTATATCATCATAAGAAAACAAGAGAGTGATAAACATCAAATATGCTTACTTATCATAAGAAAACATAAAATCATTTTTCAATTAAGTTACTTATCATTCAATTTTATATTTATTATTTATGTAGTTGATTCTAAAATACACCATAATACTGGGACAATCAATATCAACCTAAGGAAACTCGACGATTTCTTGTAGAGTCATCACTTTTTGGGTCTGTTAGCCTGACAAACCCAAGCGCAAAATGTTCCACCGACCTACGTGTCATCAAATACATACATATCAAATTTTCTACAAGTACTATACGTAAGAAGTATGCAATTTCACACAGGTTTGTGATATGACGTGAATTCACCGACAATTTTATAAAGTAAAGTGCAAGAAAAAGAAAACATTAATTGCAGGATTACTCAAATATGTAGAAATTTTGTTGCAATAGAGTAGACAGCTAGTGCTTCTATCATGGACAATAATTGAAGCTTATAACAAGTGTAAAACCATAATTGAAGTAGCAAGAGCATGACTTACAATCCTATAAAATAATTGTGAATCTACTACAAAATCAATAATTCAAGCCTCTAACTAGGAAGGGAATGTTTATTCTCTTATAAAAAATAGTTATTTACCTTGAGGCGACTAACACGATTCTTCTACAAATTTTGCGGTTCAATTATTAATCCTACACCAATTAAAACAATAGACATAAGTAATTATGACAATAAACTTATTATTGATTAAATTAGGGGTATACTATGGGTGTCAATTCGGGTCAACGAGTCGGGTTCTGTTCCGACCCAAATACGGTCAATCTGAATCCGACCCGAATAATAAACAAGTATAAAACTAAGACCTGAACTCGACCCAAACCTGTGCTTGACCCTCTAACCCAAAACTAATTCGAACTTTCATGCTTACCGGTCATGTTTAGATTTTTGGGTTCAACCCAAACCTAAAGTTAATAATAAACGAGTCAAATTCTTTGATCTGAACCCAACTAAAAAAATATGCAGGTCAACCCTAATCCAGATTTTTTGAGTCGAGTTTCAGTTGTGTTGGCATGTCGGGTCACATTTCGACACCTTAGTGTACACTAATAGACACAAAAAGATTTAATATATGTATGTATATATAATCAATTATTAATATTATATTCATGGCAGAGGAAAATTAACTAATGTTTTTATTTTTTGTTTTTTTTTGTCTTTTATATAGGGAAAAATTAAAATTTCTGAATTAATTGTTAGAGAATTTACATTCTAAACATCTAAAGAATTGAATAAACAGTAAATATGAAATCTTCAAATCCTACAAGTTCTTAAAATGCGCTTCTCCTCTGGTTTGCCTTAACTCTAGGATTTAGCAAATCACGTTGGGAGATGGATTTACAAGATTCAGAAGAGCTGACGCACACATGAAGGAGGAAGGCGGAGCAAAACGAGGGTTACTTTCCTCAGTCGTTTCAGGTAGGAGTGGAGCAGAAGTTTCGGTAGTCTCTGCAAGCCTATCATCCTGATCTTGCTTTCTTTGCTAGCTCCAATCACAGTTGTATTGCAAGGGTTTCGGGAGTGAGAGGATGAAGTAGGGAAACTAGGTGATGGTTTTGGGCAAAATCAAGAGAGAGAGAGAGAGAGAGAGAGAGAGAGGGAGGAGGGGATGCCCATAACTCTGCTTTAGAGCGCTGATGCTAAGCAAATTAGGAAGGCAGCAAGAACCCTAAGAAATATTTTTCGGTTCTCACAAAGCAAACCCCTCGGCGTTTTCAATTTCTTCAAAGGTATTCAATACCCTCCCTGAACATCTGAGAGTCAATAAGACGTATGTCAACCATCCTCGAACATCTCTTAGTCCAAGGATGGCTATATATATATATATATATGCCAATTAGCCTAGCTCAGTCCAACTTAGAGGTGCTCCTTATTAGGGATTGAGGGTGGATGAACAAACTTGATTAATCGATCGGTTCCACTCAACCGACCAAGTCAATTTTGTCGACCTTTTGCCAGCAAGAATCCAACAAACCAACAGGGTCAAACTTAGCCGTCCGGTAGTTTTAATAGACTAGATTGACCGACGGGTCTCTTTAACATAACAAATCTACAAAGCCTTTCGAAGGGTTCGTCAGTCCAGCTAGCCGAGCCTTAGAGCCACTACGCCCTGGGCTCATATATATAAAATACCTACAATAACATTTACAACCCCTATTAAAACAAGAGCATATATGTAAATTCACACATGGTACCTCCCTTTTCTAAAAATAGGAGCTCATCCAATGAATGGAAGTTTATATACTCTCTCTAAATCAAAACTCATTTCTATATGTTTCTCTCTCTCTCTCTCCTCTCCAATCCCACCCTTTATTCCTTAACTATAATTTACAGACAAATCAAGATCTAACATAAGTGTTATTTCAATTTCCTTTTCATTTGATATTCTATTTTTTTTTTGTGGAATGTAAATCATTTTATAATTGTAATAGACTAAAATTTATATTTTTTATCTTATCTTTATTTTTATTATCTACATATACATTTCTCTTTTTTCAATATAAAATTAATTTATATACATTCATCACGATGATATTAGGAGTAGAAAAAAATATTCTATATAATTGTCCATATTTGTGCATAATCAAAGTACACTTATTATACACTATATTTGCTCAAATTTATTTGGGGGGGTGGGGGGGGGGGGGGTTGGATGTTAAACAAAAATATAATTAAATTAGAGATAATATAGGATAAATCATATTTATACGTGATATAGTAATTGAGGTTATTATTTTCTATCATAAAATTATATATTCTAACTGTGCATATTTACTTTGGGCCGACAACTTTTGCGTTTCAGGATAAACAGTTTGTTCTAAGATATGTCCGTAACTATCCGCAACTTATATTTAATATAAAAACTCAAATACGACAGATACCATTTTGAAAAACATAAAGTCTTAAAAAACACAGCCATAGTTATAAGTCACCACAAACGGCCTAACTTCCCCGAAAAAACAAGCCAAATTTATATTATATTTTTTGTTCTGAAAAAGTTCCGCAAGGCAGTGTTGCGTTGCGTCTTGGTGTTCTCTTCGCGGCCACACGATAACCAATTCTCTCCGTCTTTCTTCTCTCCGTCTTTCTTCCAGTCTCTCGCCGCGCTTCCGATAGGCCTGCATTCTCCGCCTTTGCCGGCGGTTTGGGAAATGGCAGGTGGATCCTTCTCGATCGCTTACTATCCCATTTCTTCCTCACTTCCAACCAATACCTTCACCGAGCCCACTTCACCCACGGGATATCGTGGCGTGATTTCATTGGGTACGCACGATAACCAATTCTCTCCGTCTTTCTTCCCGCAGTCGCATCTTTTCTAGAGAAGCCCAAATTGTTCCCGAAACATTCAGTTCGATCTCAAAGGCATTCGCAGTATCCAGTCCGAATTCACTCTTGTTTCCAGCGGGCGAGGGCTTCGTTAAAGGACTCAACAACCATTGATGAAAATGGTCGAGGTGCGGAACAGTTCTTGCAGAGAAACTCTATTTCTGATTTCATGAGGTTTAAGAGAGGATATGGAGGCAGTAGCGGGAACGGTAGGGGTACGGAGGAGTTGCAGACGGCTGTGGTTAGCTACAGAATGAGTTTCCCGTGGTTCCTTCTGAATCCTTTTCTTCAGGTTGCTGTGTTGCCATTGGCACCTTATTTTTTTTTCTCTTACTTAAATATTCAATGAGGTTTGTAAGTATTTTTGGATTGAATTTTTTTGTTGTAGGTGGATTTGGTTTCAACAATTCACATCGCGGACAAAGAGTAAGTTCTTTCTATCATTCAATGTAAGCTTTTCATTTTGTTTCCGAAGTAGTGAATTTGATTTTTGATCGTGCGAATTTGTCATTCTACAATTGCCGTTACCTTTTGTCATGGTATGCTGATTTACTACAACTGCTGATGTCTGAGTTACAGAAATGGGAAAGTGTAGAATTTCAACTTGGTATGCTGCAATATATGAGTTTATAGCTTTAATTTATGTTGAAATGAAAATTGAGATCTTTCTTCAAGTATACACGTGAATTAACCATTCTGGAAGGTGCTATTTCTCTTCAATTGCTTGAAATAATATTCGAATGAGAGGGCATTTTGTTCCACGTATTTTAGAAGATGGTGATGTGAATGGGATGATGGCGTTGGTACTAGGGTGTTAAATGAGACTTACGGTGGCGTTGGTACTAGGGTGTTAAATGGCCCAAAATTTTGGATTGAATTTTTTCGAGCAGATTTTGAGCTGACCTAGCTTAGCTCGAGGTCAACTCAAAATCGGATTGTTAACAATCCTATATATAGGACAAGGTGCTACATGATGGGCACTGCCTTGCAAAGATCATTTCTAGAAACATAACATCTTGTTGGATGATTCTGATTTAAGAAAACTGATGAGAAGGTCAATTACTTAGGTTTAATACCACTTAAAATAGTATGAATCTAAGCTCTTAAGAATTGATGCACTTTCTGGTATGTTGTTTGGAATTTTATCAACAACTCCAAAGTTAACTGTGCTATTATGGGAGCATTTCTGGGATAGGTGACCTCCCTGGAGTAACACCAATAGGACCAAACTGTGAGACTATTAGGCCAAAGCGGACAATATTTCGATGGATAAGAGTTCCGGTTGTTACGGAATCATGTTTCTCTTCTCTTATTTCCCCATTCATCATTCCAGTTGAGCAAAGGCCACCATCACATCTTCATAACATTTCAATGCCTCACTTCCAATCTATTCTCTTTAAATGAGTAGTCAATAGCGTTTGGAGCTAAAGTTGCACTTTTTAGTTGCCATCTGTTTTATTGATTGCTTTCCACTTGACACCAAAATCCATGAGCTGTACCAACTATAATGAAAGCATGTTTTTTTTGTTTTACTTCAATATTGTCAAAATTTTGGTTTATTAAACTGCTGTTTGATCAATGTTAAATTGCAGGTACTTTGATACTCTGCAGAAGGAACTTGAGTTCTATGATTGTGTCCTGTATGAGATGGTGACAAGCAGAGAGAATTTAGAACATAGGAGGAGCTCTGGTTCAACTAAAAGCCTCAAATCGTCACGCTTTAGAAGTTTCAGTATTCTGGGATTTATCCAAAGGCAGATGGCTCGAATTCTTGCTTTGGATTTCCAGCTGGACTGCCTCAATTACCAGGCTGACAACTGGTTACACGCTGATCTTGACTTTGAGACCTTTAAAATGCTTCAGGTACACTCTCTCTTACATTTAATAAGTTCATAAAATTTAGCCTTCAACCATGTTAGCAGTGCAGATGGGAAAAAATATTCTGATTGTATTTATTTGTCCAGAATAATCATGGTCCTTTACACCACTCTTCGCCAATGGTAACTTTTTTTTTGGGATGGAATTTAAAATAGTTGTAGAAGATTGTTCTTCGTGCAGCATTGACATTGAAATTAGTGGGCTATAAATTGTTGTCATTTAAAACTATGCCTGACACCTTTAGTGCATTTAATGGTTTAGGTATTTATTTTGATTGCTTCTGCTATGAAGCTTTCGTTCTGATATTCTTTTACTCATTTGAGCCCTTTCTCTTTCATTCGAGTTATGAAGAACTAAAAGATTTTATTATGATTGCACCCTGAGAAATATTGAGGATAACATATTCTCAATGGACCAAAGTTATATCAAACGGGAATGCTATGGCCCTATGTGGAGACTTTTGAAACAAAGCACCCGGGCGATATTTTTTGTAAACCTCAGAGAGATTTGAAGGTGGCCTTGCTAAAAATTCTTGTTTTTGGATTTTGCTTATAGTAGAGGTGACAATTGGGATTGAGGAAGGTAGGGAGAGCGGGAGTGCATCTTGAACACTCCTTGGCTAAGTGAGGGAGTATCTTCAACTCTGTATTTTGGCCTTATTTATTTTATTTGTTTTTCACTCGTCAAATTTATTTATGAATTGCATAAATCCTTTGCGAGGAAAATTTGATTTACATAAGTCGAAAAGCTAAAAAACTTGGTCTAGATTTGAAGTCAAATTTTGCCATATCGACAACATTTATTTTTTAGAAACCTTTTGTTTATTCATGATCTTAGAAATTAGTTAGCATAAACATGAGTTTATAGAGTATTTTTGATGTTTTGTATTTTCTCATTAATTTGCTTTCTCCTAGTAAATTCATAAAAATATTGTTGTTTATAAACTAAGCTCAACTTTTGATATTCAAATTTGAATTTTATGCAGCTTGAGAAAGGTGAAAGCCTGTTCACATTTGCTAGGGATATGACCTTAAAATCTACAAAAGCTCTTATGCAATCAGCTTCAGTTCCAGATGATCTTGATCCTTGGAGATCGAAGCTTCTGCAAGTTTCACGTGTGCTACCTATGCCTCTTGTGGGACTTTTTATTATAGGCAGTGTCTGCTCGGCAACAGAAAATCAGGTCTCAGAATACTCTGAGATAGAAGCACTCTCTAGACTTGATATTGGAGCAGCGCTGAAAATCTTCTTGGCAAAGAGACTAACTTCAGAGTAAGAATATGACCCTCTATGAAATTCACTTCAATTGTTTTTATTTGTTGCCTATCTAATGCCTTAATGCAGTTTTAAGGTTTTGGTGCCTTATTTTGGATCTCAAGTCCTGATGTTAATATTAGGCTAGGGTGAAATGGTTTGCTTGCCTTATTTTGATTTTGTCATGGGTTTCAATATGCATTCTACATTTTTGATGTGCAGAAATAGTTGTGGGAGACGGTGGTAGTTCCGTTGTGTAATGAAAATGATTCGAACCTTGTACGCTTGGTATAGTTGACCTTTTAATTTCATTGGACAACTTGTAAATTTTGTGGCTGCAATAGTATAAACAACTAGGGGACTGTAATTTTTGTTAGTATAACCATGTTTTCTTTAATTGAATTGAGGATGACCTTTTGTTAATATTATTGAATATCATGCTTAGCCCATTTCTTTTTTTCAGCGTATATATATAAATATATTAGGCCAAA